TCAACTGTCCTCCGTGCACAATTTTGCAGTTTAATCCATCATATGAATTCTGTATTATATTGACTATCTTCTGAGGCACGCCGTAGTGTCGAAGAAGCTTCCATAGTGTTGTTCTGTCCACGCTATCAAATGCTTTTTCGTAGTCAATGAAGTTGATGTAGAGTGATGAATTCCATTCAATTGATTGTTCCACAATGATTCGTAGAGTTGCGATTTGGTCTGTACACGACCGATCCTTACGGAATCCTGCCTGTTGGTTTCGAAGTTGGGCGTCTACGGAGTCCTTCATTCTGTTTAAGAATACCCTGTTGAAGACTTTTCCTGTTATTGAGAGAAGAGTGATGCCCCTGTAGTTATCACAAATGCTGAAATCGCCTTTCTTCGGTATTTTGATCAGAAGTCCTTCTTTCCAGTCTTTTGGTACTTGTTCCTCATCCCAAGTCTTATTGGAGAGAATGTGGAGTATCCTTGCAGTTGCCCCGACCGTTGTTGCTACCTTGACGTGGTGGTCGGGCTTGCCTATCGTGATGAGGCAACCGAGCTATACTGGCTGGAACAACCGTTCCTCAAGGTCCTACCATGTCAGACAGGTCGGTTGAAGAGCGGTAAGACTAAAAGCAACAAACCCAAGGTCCGAAGGCGAAGTCGTACTGCTGACTGTACAGAGGTGTTACAGCAGTAAGGTGTTTCCTTCAGACAACCAGCATGACAGCGATGCTGCCTTCCCACAAGGAGGGGTGGGGTTAGAAAAGGTCGACCCTAAAAGTGTACACCTCACCTTACCTCACGGATTTCCGTCTCTGGCGGTAAGGCCCTTTGAAAAACGGAGCTAACACGTCAAAAACCTCCCACGAAAAGGCCGTGCGCGACCGGCCTCAAGCAGTTGTCCCTTGGGCACTGCGGTCACGCTCTCAGGTCACTGAGACCGCCTCTAATCCAATTTCCTTTTCAGGTACCTCCAGAAGAACCCTTCCTCGATGTGGGCAACCGGGAAGTGATAACGGCCCTCATACCTCTAACAGCATCCAAGACAACTGTATTCATAATCAACCTTCCTCTTCAATTCCTATTATTCCTCCTACATCGACTTTCAACTCTAAATGTCCTCTTTCGGCTTCCTCCTCAAGTGTCACCATAGCCAACGATTCTAGTGCTCAAAACTCTGTCCCAGGTCTACTGAAACCTCGCTCCAAACTACACATTGGAGCCTTCAACGTACGCACCCTATGTCAAATCGGTCAGCAGGCTTCCTTGGCTAAAACCCTAGAGTCTCTTTCCATTGATGTATGCTTTGTCTCCGAAACACGCATACAGGATTCCAGTGTGGTCATTCACTTGACCTCACCTCGGCAAAACGGAGAACCAACGAGATACACCCTATGTGTATCTGGTGACCCGATGGCCAGTTCTCGTGGACTGGCAGGTGTAGGCATAGCACTAAGCATGAGGGCGGAACAAGCACTGCTAGAGTGGATCCCGGTCAACAGTCGTCTATGTGCTGTTCGGCTAAACGGCTCCGTAAGAACTCGGAAGGATAGGGACACACGTCGTTGCCTTTTCGTTGTTCTTGCCTACGCTCCCACTGACTGCAGCTCAGATGATGTGAAAGATGAATTTTACAGAAAGCTTTCTGAACTTCTTCAGAAAGCTAAACGCTCAGACATAGTACTCGTAGAGGGTGACTTTAATGCTCAGATAGGTAGCTTAAACCAAACAGAAAGGCATTTAGGTGGATATTTTAGCATTCCGGCACAGCGAACAGATAATGGTGATCGTCTGCTGCAACTGTTCTCAGACAATCGTTTATTTTTAGCAAACACAAATTTTAAGCATAAGGAGAGATATCGTCTAACATGGCGACCCCCTACACCAAACCAACGATGGACTCAAATAGACTATATTGCCATCAGTCATCGTTGGAGAGGGTCGGTAGAAGATTGTCGCTCATTCTGGAGTACCTGCTTGGACTCCGACCACGCCCTAATACGGGCACGCATCTGCTTGGGCCTCACTGGACGCAAAAAAGCCACATTAAAAAGACCCATTAGAACTGAGTTGAGTAACGAGAAAACCATAAATAGGTTCCAAGAACAACTGAGTTCACAATTAGGTAGTTCTGAAGACTAGGCTGACCCAGATGTTGCTTGGAAAGACATACAAGCAGCTGTGGAAACAGCAGTGACATCTATTAGCGACTTAAACCACAGAGTTACAAAGGACCAGTGGATTTCTTCAAAGTCTATCACACTGATGGATTCTCGCAAAATCGTCCCATCAGGTTCCGAACATGATGAAGAGCGACAACAAATCAGATCTAGGTTAAGAAAAGGTCTAAGAAACGACCGTGAGCAGTGGTGGGCAACGAAAGCAAAAGAGATGGAAAAGGCGGCGACTATAGGGAATACAAGACAGCTTTACAGACTAATAAAAGAAACTGGAATTAATAAGTCAAGTGTAAGTGAGATTATATCGGAAAAAGACGACACTCTCATCTGCTCCCAGTCCAGACGTTTAGAACGATGGGCAGAACATTTCAGAGAACAGTTCAACTGGCCTTCAGCTACTCTACAACTACCCTCCATTCCCAGACAGCGTGAATGGAACATTGAAGTAGGTCCCCCAAATCTTGCTGAAGTTCAAAAGGCTATAGTTAGTCTGAAACGAGGAAGGGCAGCTGGTCCAGATAGACTGGCTTCAGAGGTCTTTAAGGATGGTGGTCCAATTTTAGCGATTAGGTTGACTAACATTTTAGCTAAGATCTGGGAGTTAGACGTTATCCCATCTAACTGGTCACAATCACTTATCGTCCCAATATATAAGAAAGGGTCAAAATCATCCTGTGACAACCACAGAGGGATTAGTTTAACTAATATAATATCTAAAATACTAGCCTCGATAATTATCAGACGCCTAACTAAGACTCGTGAACTGCAAACACAATAGACTCAAGCTGGCTTCAGACCTGATCGTGGCTGCATCGACCACATATTCACCATTCGTCAGATTCTAAAACACAGGCATACTTATCGGCGTCCGACAATGGTGGTTTTTCTCGACTTAAAAGCAGCATTTGACTCTGTAGACCGCGAGATTCTGTGGCAGTGTCTGTCATTGAAAGGCGTACCCCAGAAGTACATAAACCTTGTAAAGGCTCTTTACTCGAACACTACTAGTCGAGTGAGAGCTTATGGCGAACTGTCATCTACTTTTGCAACCTCAAGTGGTGTCCGTCAAGGCTGTCCACTTTCTCCATTTTTGTTTAACTTAATCATAGATCTACTGATGGAAATAACATTCTCGTCGACTGAATTCTCGGGTATTGATCTCCTACCAGGAGGTCCACTTATCGACTTAGAATACGCAGATGACATAGTCCTGTTTGGTGAAGACGCTGACAAAATGCAAAGTCTTCTGGTAGCACTGAGCAACAATGCCAGAATGTTTGGAATGCGCTTCTTTTCCTCTAAATGCAAGTTGTTGCTTCAGGACTGGTCTGCGTTAACACCTGAACTAAGGATAGGGAGTGAAGTAGTTGAACGCGTTGACAACTTCACTTATCTTGGAAGTCTGATCAGCCCTAATGGGTTGGTGTCTGACGAAATCTCAGCACGGATTCGAAAAGCTCGCTTGGCTTTTGCCAACTTGCGTCACCTTTGGCGAAGGCGAGATATCCGTCTATCAATAAAAGGACGAGTATACTGCGCGACAGTTCGTTCTGTTTTACTTCAAGGCTGCGAAACATGGTCATTAAGCGTTGAAGATACTCGTAAGCTACAAGTATTTGACCACATATGCCTCAGAAATATTGCTGGCGTCTGCTGGGATCACCGGGTGAGTAATAGTGAGGTTAGACGCAGGGTATTAGGGAATGATGGTAAGTCAGTTGATGAGGTTATGAATCTTCATCGACTGAGATGGTTGGGCCACGTGCTACGTATGCCTGAATACCGATTACCACGACGTGCAATGCTATCCGGTATTCGAGATGGTTGGAAGAAAGTTAGGGGCGGCCAAACCAAAACGTGGCATCAGTGCTTGAAGTCACTAACTTCTAGTCTGAGCCATGTTGGTAGATGCAGACTACTTGGTTGGGGTCCGCGTGACTATCGTAACCGATGGTTGGAGACTCTTGGTGACATGGCTCAGAATCGATCACAATGGCGTCGGTGTATACACTCTCTGTCTTCCCTTAAACTAAGAGATTAAAATCGCTTCATATCTTTCTTTCTACGAACCAATTTTTTCTTCTTGTACTATATCTCTATATGCAATCTTCCTCTTATGTATTACCACCTTTGACCTAACCACTGCTATCAATCCGGTGTTCATCTTGTTGTGCTGATGCGGTATGGCAACCTGGACCGATGCACATATGTGCCTGGTCCTACGTTGTAGCTGACTGACTGGACATGTTCTACGAATGTCGTCCCAGAGAACTCCACGTCGTGCATTATTTGCCGACTCTGGGACTGGTGTGAAGAAGCGGAGAGGTTGTCAGTGCATGACATGGTGTCGTGGTACGAAAGAAAGCTGCAAAGGACTGGCTTCTGTTGGTCCTTCACGACTCCCTGGTTGAGGTCCGAGAGATGGTGCTACACAGTGGCTAGAGACGTTATCATATATGGCTCAGAATAGAAGCCAGTGGCGATCCTGCTGTAACCTTCTTTTACTTTCTTCATAATAATTGGTTGTGTCTCCCTTAACTGAAAGATTTCTTCTGATTGTACGTTTTCGTTCCCTCATTATTACTATGATTGTTACTACACTACCTTACACCAACCTCTTCGTTATTGTGCCTTTTTTCACGCTCCTTATCTTTTTTTTTCTCTTCAAATTCTCATTGTTCTGTATGGCGCATTTATATTGGCGCTCTCATGTACCAATATTTATGTGTTCAAATAAATAATAAATCGCACCCGATTTTCGTGTGTCATCTAAAATCTCCAAGCTTTGTATGATGATCGTTTTTTCTTTTAATTCAAAAACTGATTTCTCAGCCAGTGCAATTAATTACAAATTAATCAGTTCTACTCAATAACATATTACTATACTAGCTACCCAGTAGGAAATGGACACATTAATGTAAAGTCATGGTAACAGGTTAGTTTAGAATAAATATAACTTCATTTGATACACCTAAACGAGAGTTTGATTTTGGACCGTCACTTTAGGAAAGAAGTCCTCAACTAGTATTTCGACAATAAAACTGGGAATATTCATGTTTAATAACGACTACGACACATATATTCTACCAATTAAAAGTCTGAATATGTACACTGACGTTTATAGTACTTATAAAGTAATGAGCAAATCATTATTGTAAAACATAAAAAATTCTAAGAATTTTCCTAGGGAATGGTTTATTTGAAAAGTAAAAATTATTAGATTATGTCGAAGTTCCTCTAGAAATTTCCTCTAAATTAGCCATATGTTCTTCTTTTATGGAAGCGTTTATTCGCGTTATCTTATCGTCAAAGAACTGTGTGAACCACTCGAGATGTTGCTTTTTATCGTCAACACTAAAATATGGGTTTTTCGAAAGACCAGTGCAGACAAGTTCCAAGAACGATGCCAATGGTTTACACTTGAGATGTTCCTTGTTTAGATGATTCTCCAGAAATACATGTTCATAAAAGGGTACATCTAACTCGGAATCCCAATCTGTAAAGTATACAAACAAGGCAAGGATTTTTAGTAGATTGAGTTGTTGATGTTGGTGTTTTCAATTTTGATGACAACCCACAATAAACTCTGATCTGACCACTACTGTTTGAAGACGAAGCCTGGACAGGGTCTATGAACTTCTCTGGTATCATTTTCAACTACAAAGTGCTATAAAACCTGTGCATTTAGGGAGTTGAATAGCGTCTTAAATTTAAAAAATATAACTAGGGTTGGTAGTCGGCAGAATCCCATTAATTTTGATTAAAAGTTTCACATCAACCCTGATGGACAACTCACGTGAATATTTTGAACCTTACAAGGAAAATGTGATTCTAGGAAATATTCGACAATGTTTAGTTTGTAATAAGTTATTCCACTGCTCTTATATATATTTACGACGGCCATTTTAATAACAAGCTTGTTTTTCCAGAACGAACTATCCTTATGGAGAGCTAGCCAGTGTTAATTTTCTAGAATATTAAATGCCTAGCTTAGAGATACTGGTTCTTAGGGTGTTGTCAAACAACAGCTTAAATAATTTACTGAAGAACAGTACAGTAAAAAGGTATGAAACAGCATTAAATCAGATGATTCATGGAAACTTCCACTTACTGACTTCTAACTGAAGAAACAGTTCTCCAAAACAGATTTTGAGTTCATTGAAAACATCCAGATTTTGCAGGCTTCAGTCAGTCAGTAACAACGTGGAATTTCGTATGTACGTATATCAGTTCAAGTTCACAAGCATAATATGTTTTCAATAGAAGTTTCTAGGGCTTTACTCTGCAGGCTTGAACTCTGGAAACTTTCATTAAAGACAAATTAAGTATGCGAAACTAGTACAATACTACTCAAGTTACAGTTATATATATGCAGTCATCACTCTATGATCTATTTTTTTACACGACCTTATTTACAGGATGCTAAGCGACATTAATGAAAAACCCTCGGCATTCGCACACAGATTACTAGAGTCGAAAAGTGAATTAGGATTTATGTGTCACATGGTCAATATTTCTTGACCGTAACCATACCACACGCCAAGAAGTTAGGATATCTTAAAGGAATGGACTCATCATAAACGGTTATTTTAATTCACACGAAACAAATGCATATACCTTGTTCATTATTAATCGGAAAACTCCACATTTTCTTTTCGACAGTCCACTTTAACCATTCTTCGAACTGGTTGTTTGGAAGACCACAACTGAAAATTGAGGCTTCCAAATTCTCAACGGCATCAAAAACGGGGTTTAATGAGTTACAAGAATCAGCAGGTAGGACTAAACATTAACTAGATCTGAAGATCACCTACCATCTTGATGAGTGAAAATATTTACATTAGCCGGTGAAGGAAGATCAACAAATGCTGTTGATGGTGCGTCATTACCTTGCATGAAGTCGCAAATAAAAATAGAAAACAAGCTTACCAAAACGATATTCTTTAATAAAATCACCAAGCAGATCCCTAAAATTGTCCGTCAAAAGTTACTGATATAACAAAACAGCTCTGACGTACTTTGACTTTACGATGTTTGCAGATTTTGCATAGCTATAGAGTAAATCATTAAAAAAAGCAACTTACTCAGACACACCACCCGATGTAGCAACAGGTTCCAGATTATCGCCCTTCCTTTTGAGGTGTTTTAATTGTCTTAGAATACAAAACTTTAAGGTAAACGGCTAACTTAGTATTCACTGATCTGGACGGTGTTGCAGTCAAGCATTTGAAATGATTAAAATTAACACGAAACCTAATATTTACTAAGCGACAAACATCAGTGAACCAACCTTGAAAATATACTCCAATAAAGGGCAGTCATGAATAAAATACAAAGTTTGTTAGAGAACCGACTTAAGGACTGGTTACTCGGAAGTTCTCAGAATAGTCCTTCAATCAGTGTTTGACCTACATGAAGAGAACAACGTACGTATGAACGTTTTCCACAAGCAGATTAGTCATACAGATCCCGAAATTTCCACATGGAATAATCTTAAAAAATTTGCAGTGACTTGGAAACGGGCTTATGAACCATACGAAATATATGAATATAACCACAAAATCAGAAACCTTCAACTTACTTACGCCTATTACTCCTCGTGAAGGAGCATAGGCCGCTCGCCAGCCTTCAATCTAAGGAACAATTAAATAGACAGCCGGAGGGGATTGTTTTCTTATTTCAGGAACTATTGTTACCACAAAAACCCTTGTTAGATAAAATGGCAGGGCCAGTAACAGATTGAAATATATTTAATCACAATCCAGCAAATATCATGCGTTACAACAACCGATTGACGTCTCTAAGTAAAGTCTTGAAATCAATGGGATGGTCTATTGAAGAAGGGTGTGCCTGAGAAGTTTATTAACATCCTAAAAGCCCTATATACAAACACCTCAGGCAGAGTGAGGGCATTCAACCACCTTTCTCCATTGTTCTATTCGAGCAGTGGGGTTAGGCAGGGTTGCCCAATCTCACCATTCCTCTTCAATTTTGCCATCGATGACATTCTGGAAACAGCTCTGATGGATGTAAGTAATGGTGGTGTGGATCTGTTGCCTGGAGAAAGACTTCTCGACCTTGAGTATGCGGACGATATTGTCTTACTGTGCGATAATGCCCAAGGCATGCAATCGCACTTAATCAGTTGGCAATCAGTGTCCGTAGGTATGGTATGTGCTATGCACCTTCGAAGTGCAAAGTACTGCTACAAGACTGACAGGATCCTAATCCTGTACTCACCCTGGATGGTGAGCAGATAGACGTAGTCGAGAAGTTCGTGTATCTGGGTAGCTGCATAAGTACTGGTGGAGGTGTGAGTGATGAGATTATTGCACGTATAGTGAAAGCCAGGGCGGCTTATGCCAATCTGGGCCATCTTTCGCGCCTTCGTGATGTTATTCTGGCTGCAAAAGGTCGAATCTACAACGCGTCGGTGAGAGCAGTTTTTCTCTATGCTTGTGAAACCTGGCCTCTCCGAGTTGAGGACGTTAGACGACTCTCTGTGTTCGATCATTGTTGTCTCCGAAGGATTGCTGACATCCAGTGGCAACACCATGTTAGTAATGCAGAGGTTCGGCATCGTGTGTTCGGGCACAGAGACGATAATGCAATCGATGTCACCATCTTGAAACACCAAATTCGGTAGCTTGGACATGTTCTACGAATGTCGTCCCAGAGAATTCCACGTCGTGCATTATTTGCCGACTCTGGGACTGGTGGGAAGAAGCGGAGAGGTTGTCAGTGCATGACATGGTGTCGTGGTACGAAAGAAAGCTGCAAAGGACTGGCTTCTGTTGGTCCTTCACGACTCCCTGGTTGAGGTCCGAGAGATGGTGCTACACAGTGGCTAGAGACGCTATCATATATGGCTCAGAATAGAAGCCAGTGACGATCCTGCTGTAACCTTCTTTTACTTTCTTCATAATAAGTGGTTGTATCTTCCTTAACTGAAAGATTTCTTCTGATTGTACCCTTCTGTTCCCCTACTATTACAATTATTATTACACTACTTTACACGAATCTCTTCGTTATTGTTTTTTTAATACTTTTTTTTACGTTCCCCACTTTTTTCTTTTTCTTAAATTCTCATTTTTTTGTGTGGCGCACATATATTTGGCGCAATCCTGTACCAATATATATGTGTTCAAATAAATAAATGGCATGCAATGCTTCTAATGAAATCGCTGTTCAGAGTATATTTAGATGTAAATAATGAAAACTATCTGCCAGTGGACAAGACCTTGGTCTTAATTATCATGGGGAAGAATTAGCATTAGGACTTGAAAGCATATACCTACTCCTTGCGAAACTCCACTGCTGGTAACCAGATTCACGAAGGAATTGGGCATATACTGGAAATGTGAATATTTTTACATAAACGGATCGAAATTTTCCTAGTGAACTGTTCGAAAAGCGAAATAATCGCAATTTTGTCTCTCATTCCAAAATCTAATAGTCGGAGTAGAATGATTTAACACCAGTCCACCTGTACAGACTGACTAAAGACTTGGCAACATAAAAATTGCGAGGATACGGTGATAACTTAATATTAAACAAACTTGGGTATACATTACATTGATTGGATGACTGTTGACAGTGTGCTGAAATACCCTACCAGGCTGAATCTACGTGATGGTAGATCTCAAAGGCCATACAGATCGGGCACCAAAAGCGACGTCGGAAACAAAATTTTCTACACTCATAATTGTCAACTCTTGAACCATATTAATTATGTTGTATTTCTTTTGTATATGTCGTAGATTCCCGTCAATGTGGGCAAGTTTTCTACTGTTTTATTCTAAAAGTTGTTTCCGACTGATTTTTTCCCATGTGGTCCCGTACTTAAGATCACAGACAGGACTTTTAGTGATGAGTTCTAGGTTAATGATGACTAACTGAGTGACACCAATGTTGTGTTGCATGCATAAAAATAAGTTATCAGGCCGTCGTGATACGGCGGAATGTATATCGTTTTCTTAAATTACAGGGAACATTATTAAGTGACTGTTCAGCGGCCTCGACTACGAAGAAAAACATGTGAATATGCTTTCAAATATGAGTAAAATTCAAAAAGTATCCACCACTTTTCATTCCATCAAGAGTGCCAATAAGACTCCCTCCATGAGACAGAAAAAACTCCTAAAAACGGGCCTAAGGTGAATTTGTCAACCCTGAACGATTCACCAATAATATTTGTTGTTGAAATGGTCTTTAAAGGCTAAATGCACAAAAAATATTTATAACGGTGGTTCACTAAATAAAAGATTGTTATGTTTATCTCTTGATATAGCTTATAAGTACATACAGTGTGGAAGGGGGTAGAAAACTTCACGACCAACCATACCAAGTAACGACCAACGAGTTACGCGCCCGAGAGATTTTCAATATTTAATCTCAGTAATGGGGTTAGTTGGTCATTTGAGTTAACAGGAAGCATACTGCCCTACCATTTAAATTAGAGAAGACGAACTCAGATTCATGTGGATCAGTATATATAAGTCGGAATTTCATCATGAACTGATTTCGATCTCCCAAGTTTGGGGAAATCCCCAAAGTCAAATGACTTTCAACAAAGTTAAAGGAGAATTTTGAAAGATTTCCTCAAAGTTTACCATAGCGGCCCCCTCGAAATGGGTTAAATGTTCTCCGAAACCGGTAGCTCGGGACATAATGTCGAGAAAGATTCCGTGATCATCTGTGGAGTTGATATCACTCGTTCGAAGGAAACTCTGTGGGGAAGATAGAGTGGCACTCTGAATTTTTCGAACGTAAACTTGTAAATCATCTTGTTATGGGCTCACAGATGATTAGCCCTTAGGAGATGAGAGACATAAAACATCTTAACACACACTTGTCAATTTTACTAGCATCGCAGTTTAAGTATTAACAAAGCAATTCGTGCTACATTATTTAGCTGTATAGAATCCTATAATCCGTTCGCTTCGGAGTAACACAGGTTCTGTAATCAGAGTTCTTGGTCGGCATACTAACTTCAAGGGAGAATTTACAGTGGCCTAGGATAGCAGTTTGCAAACCGGCGTGATATTCGTAGATTTCGTCAAAGTATTTGAAAAGATGTCTCCTTTGGGCTAATGAATAAGCTCTTCAACTTTGAAACAACAGGCACTATACAAGACTTAGCAAAAAACCTCCTGTGGTTGAAGACAGTGAGGGCAAATGGGACACTCTCTGTATGGAAGTCGGTAAATGTGGCATGCTTCAAGATACTATCTCTAGTCCTGCATTATTTTTACTCCGTGTCACGACAGCTCAGGTTTTTGACACTCCGGTTGCAATTAGTGTTAATATGTGGTTAATGACCTCACGCCAAACCTCCTTCATTTACGCAAGTTTCAAACGGACAGTGGCCCTAGAAAAGCTCCAGGAGTTAAGTAAATTATATAAATATTCCAAAAGTGGGGATATAAAGGACAATTCTGAAGTGGTTGAGCTAGTACGAAATGGAAATGGCAACAGTCTACGGTATACCATCAACAGTACGTTTCCATATCTTCGTGAATAACAAGCCCTAGGAACAATCTTTAATCGGGACCTAGAAACAAAGTCCACTGCACTGCTGCAGCTTCAAAAAGATCCGGTGGGAGGTTGCGACAGATCAGTTCAACCGTTCAAACTTTATGTGTAATAAATAATACAGATGTTGATGTCAGCAGCAGGATCTCGGTATAACCTCACAGATGGCACGATGCCTGGGGAACTTTAAACACGTGATGATGTCACAGGCATTGCGTTTGTAAGCCTGTTCGTGTAGGAGGTTAGATCCATGTTCATTGAAGAGGATGAAGGATCCACGAATTCTCCCGGAAGTCGAAGTGTCGTTCCATAAACGAGTTGAGCCGCAGTGTATCCAATGTCAGCTTTCACTGCATTGCGAATACCTAGTAAGACGAGTGGAAGAGCGTCGGTCCACTGTGAAACGTTTGCAGCTGATAGTGAAGCTTTTAGTTGTCGGTGAAAACGTTCTACCAACCCGTTTGCTTGTGGGTGGTAGGCAGTCGTTCGTAAGCGAGTGGTTCCTAAAAGTCTGGTCAGACGACGGAAAAGATCAGATTCAAACTGACGTCCGCGGTCTGTAGTGATGGTTGAAGGGCAACCGAAGTTTGCTACCCATCGTTCGACGAAGGTGCGGGCCACTGTTTCAGCAGTGATGTCCTTGATAGGTACTGCTTCTGGCCATCGAGTGAAACGGTCTACCCAGGTTAAGAGATAAGAGTATCCATTCGAATCTGGTAAAGGTCCTACCAAATCCAGATGAACATGGTCGAAACGAGCATCGGGAGTTTTAAACGAGCCTAAGGGACATTTATTGTGTCTGATAACCTTAGATTTTTGGCAGCTTACACAGGAGCGTGCCCACTCCCTCACGTCTTTATTCATGCCAGGCCAGCAAAACCGTTCTGCTATAAGCTTGATGGTTGCACGAACGCCTGGATGAGAAAGTTTGTGCAATGTGTTGAAGACATTGCGTCGATAATGTTTCGGCACGATTGGGCAATCCCTACCTGTGGATGTGTCACAAAGTAAGGTTTCCTTACCTGTTCCCATCTGTTTGATGCGTAGTTTAAGTGTTGTGGACGATAACTCGTGCTGAAGATCAGTGTCTTCTTTTTGAAGCTCGGCGAGTTTAAGAAGGTCGATTCCTTGGAAACTGTTCAAGGAAGTTATGCGAGATAAGGCGTCTGCAACTACACAGTTTGCTCCAGAGATGTGTTGAATATCTGAAGTAAACTGCGAAATGTAGTCCAGTTGTCGGGACTCACGGGGAGAGTACTTGTCAGAAGGAGAGCTTAACGAGAAAGTGAGCGGTTTATGGTCCGTGAAAAGAGTGAATTCATGACCTTCGATGTAGTGTTGGAAATGCCGTACAGCACAATACATAGCTAGGAGTTCCCTACCGAATGTGCTGTACCTTGATTCGGTGTCTAGCAACCTTCTAGAGAAAAATGCCAAGGGTTGCCAGGAGTTGTTAACCCATTGCTGTAAGACTCCTCCGATTGCCGAGTCGGATGCGTCTACTGCGATGCTAATGGGTGCTCGGGTGTCCTGATGTGCGAGCATTGTTGCTTTAGCAATCAGTTCCTTAACTGTGGAGAATGCTTTTCGTGCGGTGTCGTCCAGATTGATTGATTTCGCATTTCCACGAAGTTGGTCGGTCAGAGGTTTCATAAGTAATGCGCATTTCGGTATGAAACGTCTATAGAAACTTACCAGGCCGTTAAACGTGCGTAATTGCTTGACGGTGGTCGGTTCTGGGTAATCCAGAATGGCCGCCACTTTGGTCCTAAGAGGTCGAATGCCTTGAGCATCGATAGAGTGTCCTAGGAAGTCTAACGAGTCGGTTCCGAATTGGCATTTCTGAACGTTTACAGTTATGCCATGTTTTTGAAGTCGTTCGAAAACAAGATCCAGATGCTTGAGATGTGTTTCTCTGTCCGGACTTGCGATTAGACAGTCATCAACATACGCGTGTACGAAGTTGAGACCTCGAAAAACGTCGTCTATGAATCTTTGGAATGTTTGAGCAGCATTCCTTAGACCGAAAGGCATTCGCAAAAATTCATAGAGTCCGAAAGGAGTTATGATAGCTGTTTTCGGTATGTCGTCAGTAGCCATAGGGATTTGGTTATACGCTTTAACCAAGTCGATTTTCGAAAAGACAGTTGTACCTTTCAAGGTAGCTGTCAAATCGTGAATGTGAGGCAACGGGTAACGATCGGGAATGGTTTTCGCGTTCAATCGCCGATAGTCACCAGTTGGACGCCAATCGTTGCTGTCCTTTTTAGGGACCATGTGCAACGGAGATGCATATGGGCTACTTGACGGTCGTATGATCCCTAAGTCTATCATGTGATCGAATTCGTTTTTCGCTAACCTTAGCTTTTCAGGAGCTAGTCGTCGTGCTTTAGAGAATACAGGTGGTCCTGTAGTCGTGATGTGATGTGTAACATTGCTGGTTACACACGGTAGTTTCGGTTGAGTTTGTTGTATCCCAGGGTACTTATCGAGTAGTGGTTGATAGAGTGGGTCTATCATATGTTTAACTGTGACTGGGGATACTCTACAACCAGTAAAAGAAGTTACGCAAACGGACAAATTAGTGTTTCCGTCTACTAGCCTCCGTTTGCGCGTGTCGATGATCAGATTGTGGTGTTGTAGAAGGTCCATACCAATGATTGGCATAGAAACATCTGCAACAACGAAAATCCAGTGGATGGGTTTACGTAAACCCACGTTAAGGTAAACGTACCTTTTGCCATACGTAGCGATCGGTTTTCCGTTTGCCGCCTGTAAGTTTAGGGTCGATTCGTGAAGTCGGTCGTTAGGATTTGCTGGGAGAACGCTAACTTCTGCGCCAGTGTCGACGAGGTAGCGAACTCTCGTTGTCACATCTGTGACGAATAACAGACGGCTTTGTTCGCCGGCTACGGTTGCCGTTAACGCGTGCCGGCTTGGAAGTTTCCCGAATTGCTTTTCGAATCAGTCGGTTTCGTGTTGGGAAAATTGCAGGGTTTTCTGCAATTTCTGGAAAGCTTTCCATACTGGTTATGATACCAGCACCAGTCGGGGTTATCTGTCTCTCGTGGTCTAGAGACAGATCGCTTACGAGAAATGGTTCTACGTGGTGTGCGCGATCTCTTACGGTCGGTACGAAGACTAAGATAACGCGTGAGTGTGTGACATAAGTCGTTTATATCACTCTGAGTCGTTTGAGGTTTGTCTTTGACTGAAAATACCTCGGTAGTAGAAGGTTTCGTAATTTCTAAAATGCGGTCGGCACATAGAGCTAGCTCGTCTAAGGCGTTGTTCTGGAACGAGACCAGAACTGCTTGCACCTGTTGGGGAAGTTTTGACAAGAAGAGTTGCTTGAATAGACCTTCGTCGAAAGTTCTTGGGCCTATTACCTCTCTCATCCGTTGCAACATGTCTGTCGCAGAACCGTGTTGCAGGTCCATGTTATTGAAGAGTTGATCTAACCTTTGTCGATCGGTTAGGTCTCCTCGTTTAAGAATCGAGCGTTTTAAGATTTCGTAAGGATCGGAAACATCACTAGTAAACATACTAGGTGTTACGTACCTGTTGAATTCGCGCGGTAGTGCCTTGACTACTGCGAGGAATTGTGCACGTGTGTCGATCACGCCGTGCTCGTAGAAGTCGGCTTCTGCGTAGCAAAACCAGGCTTCGATGTTGTCGGGCCAGAAAGGCATCAGTTGAAACGAAGGCGGGGACAAAGTCTTTAGCTTGAGTACTTTAGGTGTCTGTTCAGTCATGATGAAGTATGAAGTACGATAATGAACAAGGGGAAAATATATATATCCAGGAAAAAACACGAAAAAAAAATCGCAATGTTTAAAAAAATAAAAAA